AAAATTTTCATGTAGCCACACATATATTGGAAAGACAATTTTCATGTACTCACACATATATTGGAAAGACAATTTTCATGTACTCACACATATATTGGAAAGACAATTTTCATGTACTCACACATATATTGAAAAGACAAATTCCATGTAACCACACATATATTGTAAAGACAACATTTATATATCCATACATATACTGTTAAGACTATTATTTACGAGAACTTAATTTGACGAGGACGGAATAAAACAGACACCTCGAATACAAAATTAAATAAATACATGCACCTCAACAAAACTGAAAGAAGAGCATTTTATAACTAATGAAAAGAAAAACAAACAAAAATAGAACTTCGGAAAAAACCATATAGTATCAAGCTTGAAGTAAAACAGCAAGAATGTGAAACACCAGAAAAACTTCGAAAGCATCATTTGTTTGTTTTCTTCGTCTAATTGCATCTTTGATTGTATCAAACTATAATGATATTATTCATTAACTGCACTCAAGGCCAAAACCAATCAAGAAAATACCGACATGGCAACAGAATCTCAATTCAAATTCAATAACACTATAGCACAATAGGAATTAAAGATTTACACGGAGAACACTGAATGTCCTGGAAGGGTTAGCGTCCTCTGCTTCATCGATAACAAAATGCTCAACTTCAAATGACACAAGGAAAAAGATAATGGCCAATGTATTGTGAGTATCTGTCATCTGTCGACACCTTGTACGGAACTCGTGATACCAGGTTGTTTGTTTCGTTGTAGGAAATATGCGGGTGGTGAAGAAGACATTTTCGTGTTCTTGGTTCCAGTTCAGGTGAGAATATACGAAGGACATGATCAATAAAGTTCTTGATATTTAAAGACATGACAGCATCAATATATCTGAAAGTGAATTGAAGGACTTGACATAGCAAAGTCATTATGACTTGTTTTGATAAGCTCTTCGATAAACACAGTCGTATATGAAAAAAACAAACTATCCTGGAGAAGGACACAAGTGGTTCCCATGGGTATGTCAAAGTTCTGTAGGATGATATTATGTTGCCAACCCAATCATTTTTCCTTTTTCGTATGTCTCTTCTTGGATTTGAATGTGTTTTTCAGAAAATACTCTCCAGTCACATGTAATCATACATTTGAAAATGAAGCTCTCTTGATTAGAGAATAAAAGTGTTCCTGTTGTTTCATTGAAGTGGTGTATAGAAGATAACATATGGAGCTCGACTTTTTCTGTTGCTCTGAAGCTCATTAGACGACGGGTAATTAGGGTCACTCGTTGCCACACAGAAGTGTTATGGCCTGAATTTGGTTACATGACATCCCAATCACATCAATACGACTGTAGACCAATCACAGGGACCTTTGAGCATACTAACTAACAAACGGTGTATGCCAACGTCAAGAAATAGAACAGAAATTCGTATAACACAACCAGTAGAAGATAAAGATAGTGACGTTTCGATGACTACATGGCCACCTTCATCAGACAAATAGCCAGTGTGCAGCGTACTAACGCTAAGGTTGAAAATAGTGTGACGAAATAAAAAAAAATTTGGAAAATGGTATGAATTGGTCCCGTGCAACATATTTAAATATTGAGGGGAAAAGTAATTACTTTAACAAATACAGGTAAGTGGAAAATGATAAGGATGAATAAACACTTTCCTAAACATATATGTATGTTTATTATTCCTTTTTTTTTAAATCTTACTTTTATGATGAAGTGTCCCATTTTTGGTATTGTCGACATCAAAGAAAGGATTTTAAACACGAGCACCTCTGACATTCGACCAAAGGGTTCTAACTATCTTTCTGCGAATATATTTGGGTTTTGGTTTCGGTCATGACAAAAATCAAATCGCGGATATATAGTTAGAACCCTTCGGGCTACTCTGACATCTTAACGTACAGACTTTTTATAGATATTGTTTCATTATAGATGTCTCTTATAGCTTATATCTTACATTTCTGATTAAGATTTATCATTTTATATACTTTTTATGGTTTATCTAATATAATCAAGTTCAATAATAAACCGATATGAATAGATATCAACTCGGTTTGCTGCAATTTAGAGTAAAAAACTAATTATAAACTAAAACCCGTTTTGCCGTAATACAAGGCGAGACAATTCACTTTTGACTCAAATCTGTATGCTTCACACGCTTGCATTTAATGACACGTTTAATCCTTAATAAATTGTTATGCTTATATTAAACCACATCAAGCGTTGTGGTTGACATGGCCTGGATATTGACAAAGTGTTTATCCCGTCGTCGTGAGAAGGGAAGCAACTCGTGTACGCTTGTACATCGATTAGAAAAAAAATGAAAGTAAGCGAAGACTTATTATATATAAGACTAATATTTTTTAATGTCGCTGTAACAAGGAATTATGAAGGAAGTTTACCAATCTAAGGTTACAGACGGCTTGTATTCAGTCTCCTTGTGTTTGTCTCGTGCAGAAAATCGTTTCCAGTCAGGATTATAGACAGTGACGAAATATTGTTTTACTATTATTAAATATTAAAACAATCGGAGACCATGCAGTATGGAAGTTTACCGTAGAACAAGATACATCTTGTATGTTTATGTATTTTTGCGTAGATCTGCTAATCAATTTCATAATTTCAAAATAGTTTCATTACATGCATTTAAAGACTTGGAACTTCGTCAGTTTTATAAAAGTTTCATCGAATAAAACAATTAAATCAAATGAAATTGATTTTTTTTTTAAATCTGATTGAGCATATCAAAAGGGCAATGACTAGTCACAAAAGTAATATACTCTTAACGTGTAGAGAGATAGTGAACTCATATTTTAGTGCCATCCACACAAACAACTTTAATGTGCTCATTATTATTCCAGGTGACATTGTGAAATAAATTAAGATTTTATTCCTTGCTGGAGTTAGGCCCTATGTTCAGACATTCTATTGTCTTTATTGTCAAACAAGGTCAGCAATTACTTAAACATCACATTTGTTATTATTAATATAAAGAGACACGTTTATGAGGAACTACACACGTTTGTTTTCATAACTAAATAACATTGTCAGTACAATATTCTGGAATGTGTTTTCTCATACTTGGTAACGTTCCTCATGTATGACTGTTCCGGAAAACTGCCCTATTTGTACGTGTTTTGATGTGGGTATTTAGCGTCTTTAAGTCCATTAACTTGGAACGCTTAAAAATATGCTCGTGAAGGTTTTTGTATTATTATCATAATCTGCTGTTTTCTCACGCTTGTGTAATAGTCAAAATTATATATGGGACGTTAATGATGGTTTAGACACTGGTCACGTGACTTTTCGTGAGAGGAAGTATGTAATTATCAAACGGAAATATTAGATAAAAAGTCTATGTGTTTATCCTACAAAATCTACTTGGAGAAATGTCATTTTATTCAGTGACCGATAAAATGCTTGTCCAGTACACCGACACTTTACCAAAGGCCGGTAAACATTTTTTTCAACATGCGATTTATCCCGTACACTGATCATATACTGACACACTGTGTGTCCGGTATATTGAATGTATACCGACATATAGTGTTTCCGGTAAATTGAATGTCCGACACACAGTGTGTCCGATATATTGAATGTATACCGACATATAGTGTGTCCGGTATGGTGAATGTATAACGATATATAGTGTGTCCAGTATATTGAATTGTACCGACACACAGTGTGTCCGGTATATTGAATGTCCGACACACAGTGTGTCCGGTATATTGAATGTATACCGACACACAATGTATCCGGTATATTGAATGTATAACGACATACAATGTGTCCGGTATATTGAATGTATACCGACAAACAGTGTGTCCGGTATATTGAATGTATACCGACATACAGTGTGTCCGGTACATTATACAGTGTGTCCGGTATATTGAATGTAAACTGACATATATTGTGTCCGGTATATTGAATGTATACCGACATACAGTGTGTCCGGTATATTGAATGTATACCGACATGCACTTTACCCTAAACTATTATAAGCATGGTGCTTAAATCGCATGATAAAATATTCAGCTTACGACCACGCTAAAATATACGAGCAAGTGAGACGGTTCATTTGACTTCAAAGAGGATAAAAGTAAATCTTACGCAGGTAGTAAACAAACCGCATCACAAGATGCTCGGCTATTGTTCTGTTATGTGTCCAAATATTGTACACAAATCATTTTACGTGTAGGTCTAGATTGAAATCAATATTGTTTGAATATGACAATTAACAACAAATTTCTAACTTGACCACTGTTGCTTGAAGAAATGCTCAAAACCAAATATATTAAATATTCATTTTCTGAGTATATTTTTAACGTAAAAAAAACGAAAGAAGAATAACAATTGAAACTATTTCCTGATAATATAAAATCAAATCTATGTTGTTGTTAAGATACGTGTAGAAAATCACGGGCACTCCGGACAGAATAACTTTCAACTGGGTAGATCAGGGACGTGTAATACTGTATTATACGTCCCTGGGTAGATAAAAAACATATATCTGAGCAATACAGATACGTCGTTGAAATTTGAATATATGTATTTAATGCTTTTGGATAAAAAGTATAATAATGTATATTTAAAATTACCCTAACCCAAAAAAACCTAAGCTCCTAATGCTACAGTATTGGATACTGAGTCTATTACTGTTTTCCTTTCCTTTTTTGGTTTCGCTTTTCCAGATACACACATTTATATGAAAACTAAGCGTTAGTGCGGTAGCAATATCAAAGTGATGTTGTAACAGATGACTTTTGATATAGCTCCTGTTAACATGGCACCTGCGTCTTGCATCATTTCAGCACCGAGAAATCTTCGGAACTTCTCGGAGTCTTCCATTCATTAAGCGAGTTTCAGAGCGACATCTGTCAGACAAGTTGAAAGTCATGCCGGTGAACAACTCAGTCTGTATGAAAAATGTGATTTGTTCAATAAGATGAACACTGAGGACGACGAAATTCGTTGAGCAGACGAAGGGATGCCTGGTTGGCGCCCGGATTGCTTTAGGGGCTCCGTGCACGAGCCTGGTAAGTTTGTTTACTTTCTCAGCACTCCCACCCCAGCTCTTGTGTTGTGTTGTTGTTGATCTGTTTGAAAAGATGGCGGGTGTTCTGAACTATCTACATATACTTTGATCTTAACATCTACAGGTGTAAACACTGCTTGAGAGTGTGTATGGAAGTACATGTGTAACATCACGCTAAACACGTTTCACTTTCATTCATTTGATGCTCTGTGAGACGTAAAACAAGTTCACAAAGTGAATTAACAACTTTTATTAACAACTGAGGCCCCACATCTCTCAGTTGAACTTGTTACATTTTATAGGGCACGTTTACACTGCAGTAGGTATACTGTACACTATGGAAGGTATGATATTATTTTGTTTCTACAGTAGCCTGTTGTTTTAAGAAGAATGATTTGATGATATTATGCAGCAAATGAATATACAGCCAGGGACGTATATATACGTCCCTGATACAGCATAGTGCATTAGTAACGACAATTTGACTGACAACAATTAAAGTAGTAAATTTTAAGCATCTTTCAATATTCAGCATTAGTGACTGGTGTGGTGAATTGGCTGATAAATCACATTTGATTTATCACATAATAATGAAGCTAGTTCAGAATGCACATGCATTGTATATGACATTCATGAAAATAATTACAAATATAAACAAAATTAAGAAAATTGTTTGAATACCGTAATAGGAGTAGAGTAGTCTAACTTATACATTTTTGACATTTGTTTGCACCAATTTCAGTTTCCCTTACTCTTCTCCTAGATCTCCACACTCTTTGACCCAAAAGGTTGCTTTCCCTTAAGTGGTTGAAATGGTTGAACCAGCTGAACCTGCAAGAGAAATGCCTTGTACAGACTAAGGCTAGCTTGCAAAATATTCGGCACATGCAGCTAGAACGGACCAGTCATATCTCTGTATCTAATTTGCTGAAAATTGTTAGTTTTTATAAATTTAATCATCAAGCAGAGTTGGTGCATGCACATGTTTCTGGAAATGTAATGCTATTAAGAACAAGTTAAAATTAATGATATATCATTTTTCAATGCTCTATGTTTGACAGGAAATCTACATACACATTTATATCAGTTCCAACATCGGGTACAGGAGTGTTTATGTATTGTGGAATAATTTCTGGCCTCCTGACCTGATTCAACTGGATTACACAAAAGCAACCTGTTATTACTGAAGAATTGATGTTCTAGAAAGCTATAATTGCTATAAGATGCATTTGTATTCATCATTTTAAAATTTGAGTTCATGAAGGTTTTTGCAAGTTCATGTTCTTTCCCCTGACGACTGAAATCAGAAGGATATTATAGTATCACCATTTATAAGCATTTAATTCTATGAGGGATTTGGATAAGACTTCATGCACTTGACCTTCATCTGTAGTGCATCTCATTTTTGAATGGCTATTTGATTTGTATTGATGCCATTTTCCAAGTGGCTCAGTTTTTGAGACGGGTGAAGGTGGGCAAGTTGTAAGGACGTCTGACTGTCTTTATCACTGGTCTTCCAGTTCAAGCTCTGGGTCATGGTTTTGAGATCACATATGAGGCAGTCGTCAGGTACTGGCTGCAGGACAGTGGTGTTTCTTTGGAAACTCTCTCCGGCTTTCCTTCACCACCTAAACCTGACACATCTTTAAATGACACTGACTGTAAGCGGAATGTAACGCAACAGTGAACTAAACTTAACAGTTTTTAATGATAGCCTTGGATCTTTGTGTAAAGCCATCTGGTTTGCAGAGGGAATGAAGTTTGGTGACTTTACTTCGTAAAACAATACACTTCTTCTGTTGCAAACACGTGACATCAGAGATATAATTATTAAGCAACACTCTTCAGAAAATATATGACATGTCGTGATGTCTTGTAATCTGACCTTATTGAAGGACACTTGAAACAGATTTTAATTATTAGAGAATTCTACAACTAGTTACGTGAAAATATGATACATTTGAAGTGCAGAAATAATTAACGCAAAGCAGACTGCAGTTGTACAGGGTAAAAGAATTACTGCATTTATGTGGCTTTGTTTTTATCTTTGTTTTACCAAATATGTTTAGAATTGTTAACCAGACTAATTAAGATTTCCCAGACTTGTCAGACAGATTTGTGGAATTAAAGAGTACCAGAATATTCTAATGGTTACCAATGGCATTGAGATAGGAAAATGCAGTCTAGCTTTCATTCTCAGAACTAACAAACAGCCTTTATTGATCTAGATGTATGTTTGATTTCAAACTGTCAGGTACCAGTAGCATCGATATCTGTGCCTAGCATATTGGTGTCTGGACATCGATTTATCATTTCACTCGAATGTAACCATGAAGTTTGGCTTGGTCCCAAATTGGTGGATGTAAGATAATTTTTATTTCAAATATGAATTCATGTGCAATTTACATTTGCAGTCAACTACTGCAACATAAAATAAAAAGTCACACATCAGTGAATTGGTACTTACATTGTACATTACTGTTTTTCTTTTGTTCTTTAAACATAGTTATATTAGTTTCTGTTGAATATTACTGATCATTTTGGACAATAATCGATCGATAATCAACTAATAATCGAGGAATCTTGATTTTTTGCAATAATTCATTAGAAACAACTACATAAAGATGAATTTAAAGGTTAGAGTGTTATTTATTTCCCGTTTTCTTAACAGGAAATTTGTGAAGAAAAGACTCTGCCATTTTGGTTAAATTCATCTCCTACGCATTGGAAAATAACATTTATGAAGCCCTTAAGTGGTGATGTTGACTAGTGTTGTTCAACTAGACACTTGATTGCTTCATAATGTTCATTGACAGGATCGAGATTCAAGACTTGTTTTGCCAAATATAGGGAAACATGAATGTCACTTTTGGTTTTAGTGATGATCAATCATGAAAAATTTTAGTCAATTAATTAGTTAATTGGTGTAACTAACCAATACTCAACAAAGTTGATTAATAGGAACATCACAATATACACATGAATGTTTATATAACCTCATACTTTAGACTGATATTAAAATTATTGAAATTTGCAATTAATAGAAATGATGCTAATTCGCTCGGTTATCTTTAATGAAAGTGCTGTTTTATATCTAAATATATGTACATAGATTTATTTTTTAAATATTCTATTCAGCCTACAACAAGCCAGGACCAGGGTGGGGGGAGGTATTGTCAACATACAAATTCAGATGCAAAGTTTGCCATTCTGAATTATATAGTAACATTACAAAATATATATATATATGTATTGTTTCATAATTTTTTTCCGGTTCAGTAATTATTTTAAGTTTCTATAACCTTTGTTTAATATACATCTATAGACAGGTTGGTTTGTGATAGACATTGTATAGAATCAATATCTGTAAACTGTAACACGTTATACATCTACATCATTAAACATCTACACTGAAAGCCTCAGGGAGGCCTATACAGTACCTATGTGTATTATTTATACATAGTTTCATGATTAGAAATAGTGCTTTACATTATTTTCCCTGCCACACCTGAAGCTATATTTTTATGATGCATCGTGGCATGATTAAAAAAATCTACACGATATTAGACTGCAGTAAAGATGAAACATTAAACTAAGCATAACATTTTCCCAACTGTGTAATGAAAATGTTAAAAGTTTCACAGAAATTAAGACATTGTTTAGCCTTTATGTTGCAGCTAATGTATGATGTAGTGTGGTATGTGTGTGCGGGGACTGGCATTTGTGGAGCCTTAATTTACTCAGCTGTGATCTGTCTCCCACAGACTATCATTAAACTCCCAGTTCTCAGGTCTTTATTGACCAATTCTGATTACTGCCATATATAATTACATTCAGCGTTATAGACAGTATTGGTAAGAGTTGGAAGGGAATGTCAATTCTATCAAACTAGAGTGTCTCTTGAGTATACTTCAAATTTACATGGCATATAGCTGACACATACATATTATGCTATGTATCGCTTTTCCTAACTATGCTGTCATTTTAAGTTTAGTATTCATGATATTGTAGTCAGACTTCTCTGCCTCATATAGCTCAGGTTTATGAATGAGCTACAATATTGATTGTTGTCAATTCCAGTAATATAGAGATATCAACTCACGTTAGTTTCAGGTCTGTTTTTGATGAAATTGAAAAGCAAAATTGGCAACAAAGTAATTGATATCTTTCATATTTCTGAAAAGAAAAGAAAAATAAATTGAAAAGAATTGTTTATATTGATCCTCAAGGTTATGGCAAACCCAATTTTTACAAAATAAAGAATAACTCAGTAATTTCTCGGCGTCCAGGGTTCGATTCCTGGAACAAATGTGAATAGGTATTGAGTCATCTGCCTGACCATGTGGGTTTTTCTGTGGACTTCTGTTGGAATAACGTTTTTAGCAATGGTTGTAACATAAATACAGTTTAATTAAGGAAAAAACCATTGTGATTTATAAACATTATATTTATATTCAACTTTTGTATACCCTGTAGACCATTGCAAGGTCTACTATGTAAAAAACACACATGTACTGTATTAAAGATAATTGCTTGCTCTACAAGCATTATCTTTAAATCTTACATTCATTTTGTTATCTGCAAGAATCTGGATATAATTCATTAAATAAATTCTTAATGTTGCAAAAATTCACATGTGTTTCTTTCTCAGGTTTTGTGAGCATGTTGATCAGTGTACAATGATTAGAAAGTCTGCTGAGTTTGTTTGAAATCCATTCTACTTTATTGTCATGGTTACCGTGATAGCGCTGTTACACTAGTACGATTTCATTCTTATTTCTTTGGTTTATTGGGTGTTGCTATGGAGACAGAAAAGACCTGATGGATGAATGATTTAATGTAAAGTGAATTCTGTTTCAATAACTATGAACTGATTTCTGATTTATTTTTCATCAATCCATTGCCCCCTGCTTGCCTGAATAAGATTATTATTCCATATCAATGGTGCTTTATTAAAATGTGTTAAACATGTGTGTAGTGTCACATGGTTATAATAGGGTA